TTTTGTGGGCCCTCAAGATGCTTATGGGAGTGTTCTCCTTTCACCTGTCATTTAGTACTCTCTCATTTGTTCACTAACTATGTTCCCCATTCTTTCCTCTATGAAAGCTTACACTGCAGTAAATTTGTTAGATTTTAAAGGGGCCATTTGTTGCTTCCAGGTCCCCAGAAACCAAACAGTGTTTTTCAGACCTAACCAGACCTCCCACTGATCAAAACCCAACTCAGAAAATGAGAAGACTGCAATCCTATGCATGCTTGCCTGGAGCAAATCTCATTTAGATCAATGGCATTTACTTTGGAATGGGTGGTTTTGCAGTAAATCAAACACATACAGAGCAGAGAAGGAAAAATGTATTCAGATAAATGAACAAGCCAAGCCATGGTCTACATATCAGTATACAAGGAATATGGTCAAGGAGTGAAGCATGCACCTACAGACAGGAAACATAAAACAGACACTCAGTGAAAAAGAAAAGGCCTAGCCAAAACCATCTGAATCTGAACCAACTGAATCTGTGAATTTCAGTTTGAGTCATGCAGTGTATGAATATCCTAGAAATGCACCAGGAAAAGGCTCTCTTGATTAAACAGTTTGAAGGCTTGCAGGACAGATGCGTATGAAACTGGAAAGAGATGGAACGACTCAGTAGAATTCCAGGCCTGCAATGCCGCCACCACAAGGTCCTTCTCCAAACACTTCCCAAGAAATTGGGGCAGGACCACAGGTCCAAGAGCCCAGCTTCGCCGATGACAATGGCAATATGAAAGCTCTATATGTGGTGTTTTATCTGTCATGACTTTCACACCTAGAAGCCATCAAGTGATATACACAAATCTGAGTCAACCATTTAGGATCACAAATATGTCCTTTTCAGTATAAGCTGATCTGGACGCATCATTATGAATATTTGAGACAGGGTGTGTTGTTAGACAGAACCACAATTTTCAAGGTGTATGTTTGTGTCAAAGTAGCCCTGTTATGGCTAAATATCAATAATCCAAAATATTTGCTTCCATTTCCATTTTGAAATTTTATCCAACGGCTTGCATATATGAAAGTGCAAACATCTCCTTTGCTTTACTGTGGGCATTACATTATGAAACAAATTGCATCTAGAAACAACAACAAAAACCTGTGTATTTATGCATACACACAACTTCTTGTAGTAAAGTATGTGACTTTAAAGCTGTAATGCACTGAATTTTGAATGTTGTAATTAATTCCAAAGGCACAGAAACTATTTGATGTAAAATAATGCTATTGTGGGAGGAGGAACTGTAAGAAACTGTAAGAAACCAAAACAAATAGTAAGGACCCAGATAATGCAGATGACCTTCCAAGTGGTAACACTTCACACCCACAAAAAATAGATGGTTTACATTGAATCTGCAAGTTGAAGTTTCTTGAAGAGGAAGAGGTAAGGCCATCTGCTGTTTGGAACAGAAAGTTTAGAGGAAGCACTGTGATTCTTTCAATAATGAAAAGATATGCAATGGTCTCCAGGTCACATCACCCCTGAAAAATTCACTGCTTACAGATTCATTCCCAAGCTTCTAGCAACCTTGAGGCCCTCAAATATTCTCTACCATCAGAGATTTTGATCAAAGCTGTCGGGGCTTTGAAGGACTTTACGCAACCATTTCTGAACAAGAGCTTCTCATATCAGTCTGTTCTCAGGAGTCTACCATGTATGTTTTGCTGACTGAATAAGTCTCCCTTCACATTTTTTCCTGAACTAGGCTCAACAGAAAGCTGCTCTCTCACTGTAGTTTCTTTGCATAAAGCCTTGGGGTATTTTCTATTTTTATCTTTGGTGAAACGGAACCTTTATCTTAGTTAAAAGTTTTCCTCTTAGTTACAGTCCAATTCCTAATTGAACACACTTTTGAGGCATACTTTCCCATATATTGTTTTGAGGTTTGTTTTTGTTGTTGTTGTTTCAAATCTCAGTATCATATAATGTAGCAAAATGTGTCCCTTTAATTATATAGACCAGATCTACATATTTAAATATTTCCTTCTCTTTTTTCTGCTGAGATTTCCTCTCTCTGACTCCCTCTCAGTAATCACTACCAGAAATCAGAAAATGACGTAAAAGTTTACATACACACAGACTGTCTGACTGTCTCACTCACTCACTCAGCTTTCCAGAACATGGGACTCTGGAAAAGCTTTTTACCTTCCACAATTAGAAGTGCTGACAGTTAAATTTATGTGGCCTTCCCTAATGAGCATGCAAGGGAAATAAACAGCTGAACTTTAAAATTCCTTATAGAATGAGCACAACTATGTACAAACCAGTCATTCTCTCTCTCGCGCGCGCTCTCTCTCTCTCTCTCTCTCTCTCACACACACACACACACACACAAACGGAGGGATAGAACCCTTTTTGTAAATCAGGTGTGTTAATGGAAGCCCAGTGCCATGCTTTTCCAGTTGTTCTGTATTTCAGGGGGCACAGGGTGTGCACAGAGGAAGAAGACGGGGGAACCCCATTGCACAAGTAGAAGTCCTTGTGAAGGCTTCTGCTGATGGGACTCGTTAGGTAAATCCCACCCTGTGTATTTAGAGACACTATGCCAGGCTTCCTCAACCTCGGCACAAGGTGTTTTTGGCCTACAACTCCCATGATCCCTAGCTAGCAGGACCAGTGGTCAGGGATGATGGGAATTGTAGTCTCAAAACATCTGGAGGACCGAGGTTGATGAAGCTTGCACTATGCATTTATAAGAGAAAAAAGGCAGCAATACTGTTGGATGCAGATAACCATTTATTACACATTTGGAAATGTATGCTGCTGCACCTATTACCACATGGAAAGCTAGACATAAGTTGTGTCTGACCACTAGGCAATTTTTAACCACAAATCTGGAACCAATCAGAAATCCAAGGAAGTTCGCCATACTGCCACATATATTTGCCTACATTATTATATATTATCCGTGGAAAGTTCACAAGCAATCGCTAGAATCTTTTTGCCACCATCAACTTGGTGGATTTATCTTTAGTGTTGTTGCCTTGAACCTCCAGCTTTTCTAGCATCTTCTAAAATCATGGGGAAATCAAAGTATAAAGTCAAGGGCATAAACCTTGACCTCACTGTTTCTCCATATGTGGATAAACACCTGTGTGCCATTAGTCTTAAGGCATGATGAACACTTTAATCTCTCAGGAGATTCAGGAAAATAGATGGTAAGCATGGTTAAGAATACAGAGAAGGTTCATTGTACAGCACTTTATGAAGATGACCACAACTATTTAAAATCAATTACTGGTGCTAAAAGAAGATAAGAGACTCTACGAAGATAAGGGTGTGTTCCGTCTCAAATAAACATTGTGTTATTTGTTTCTACAACTTAATTTTTACGTTTGTTGATCTGTTAACAACTGATCAACAATGATCAATTACCAGGCATCAGTTGTTTGCAGCTATGTAGGCTATGTCACCCTGTTGAGGCCAGTTCTCCCCAGAAGAAGAAAAGTCTCTCTGACCTTGTCATCTGCTCCTCTAAGTAGCAGCTTGGAAAGCCAAATATTGCACTCTCTTTTCACCTCGTCCATACATGCCACCTCTCTTATCTCAGTCAGATTCAAACCACCATTAATCCTTCTTCTACAGCAAAGTTTTTTATCCTCTGCATTTGGAAGTTGATTGCTTCAAGTTTCTTTTCAAGTCAAGAAAGTTGTATGTTGGTTTACATGAAAATATGAGTTGGGTATGAGTTTAGCTGACTGGATAGGCACACAGACTTACATGTGCTGAGGCCAGAACCGTATGGTCAGCCACACAGAGCCGAGAGGAGAAATCATGTGTTTTTGTTTGTATAACAAAGATGCCCTTAATTATATTATGTCCTACTGAGAAGAGTGAAAATAAACAAAGCTTGCTTGATTACTGCTTCTTGGAAGGTAGAAACACTTGTGTGTGTTTTTTCTCAATAAAAAAAATTGTCCATGGACTCCTTTGTCCAAACTTTTTCCCCCCTGTGAGTTCTACTTATCACTGTATCCCCCACCCCAACCCGACTCCCTCCACCTTTTTTCTCCTGGTGTACGCACAACGAAAAATCAAATAGGTTGGTATCTTTGGCACAACATTTAAAGGAAAAAGGCCTTTAGGAAAATTACATCATTCGCAAACATACTGCGTCAATACAAAAACTGGAGAAGCCACATTAACCCAGCCACACTTTTCATCCATGGCATGCATAAAAACCCAAATGCTAGTCACTGCCTCCAGGAAAGCAGTGCAGAAACCGGAAGAGGAAAATAAGAAAAGGATCACAAGTATAAACAACAAAAGAGCAGAGCCCTGGACTCCTGAAGGCTGAGGCCCTGCCACAGTGCAGGAGATAAGGAGTGAGGTGCAGCTCTAAATACAACAGGCCAGCTGATAAAATAGGCTGCCAAGAGCTAGTTTTAGCTGGAACAAATCAGGGGGGAAACCAAAGGGGGGGAAAGAAGAAAGAATGCTGGCGAATACCAGCACCAGAGTAGCTGAAACACAAGCACGCTTACTAAGCTAATGCATGACATGCAGCTTCACTTAATGGCTCTCTTACAAAGCCTGTTTGGACCAGTTTTCATTTCTTTATTAGCAACCCTTTCAAAGCTACTATACTTAATGAAACACACTGTGCAGACCTTTCTCTCTCTCTCTCTCCAGGACTTTGTTCTGAATTCTTTTAAATGTATGTAAAACATTTCTGCACCTTTCTGTGCACAAGATCCAAATGGGCCCACTCATGGCTCAGGCTTTTGCCTGGCACAGGAACTGCCCCTCCCTTTCCTCTGCTCATCGCCAGCATCCCTGCCCTGCTTCACTCCTGTTTCCTGAAACTTTGATGACTCTCCTTTCCTAGGTCAAAACCCACCCCTTGCATCTACCCAAAATAGTCTCCACCCCCACCCATTACAGAGATCATAGAATTGTAGAATTGCAGAGTCAGAAGGGACCTTGAGGATCATCTGGCCCAACCCTCTGCAATCCAGTATGATGCAGCTGTCACATGCAGGAATCGAACCTGCAACCTTGGCATTATCGGCACTGAGCTCTAACCAACTGAGCTATCCAGATCTTCACTGCGGAAACTCCCAGATCAGAAACAATTGGAGAAGAAGCGCTTCCTGTTCCTCCTGAGCAAAACAATGTTCAAACTCCCGTTTAGAGGTGAGGCTACAAAATTAAGAGCCCGCTTTGCATTAGGTTTGAATAAGAACATGGGATAATTTCTTTACTCTATAAATAACGACTTTCTCCTATTTGGTTTGCATTCAGGATATATTTAGCGTTCCACAGATGAGTTACTTTTCTACTCTCATTACCTTGCTAGTTTGAATTATTTTCCAGTGTGAAACAGAGGATGCTGCCTTATAGCAAAGCAAGTGACTGGTTCACCTAGCTCAGTAATGTCTATAAATGTTATGCATTGGCTGGCAGCAGCTCTCGGGGAATCAGACTGGAGTTCTTCCCAGCAATACCTGGAAACATCAGGTATTGGACACGGGACTTTCTCCGTGCCATGCAAGGCCCTTCAGACATACAATGATTTAATATATATGACCTACATAGCTAGGGACCTGCATACCTAAACACATGCTTACATTCACACAGATAAGATCATGTGTATGAATGAAAAATATATACAGAAGGTGGGGGGTAAACAGAACTGTGTTTCATAGTTGTTTCTTGTGCAGGTATCAAAAAACTCTGTGTGAGTTTTAAAAAATGCAATAAAATCAAGTTTGGAATATTTATGTAGTAACCAAATCCTCACATTCTTTTGACATTTGATAGCAGGGTGTTGAAAATTGCCATAACCCTCAAGGACCCATCAGCCTCTGACAGTTTTATAGGATTACTAGGAAGGTTTCACAGCAGTAGGATGGTAATTTAAAACCAGGCCTCCTCCTGTTGTGTTTATAGATGCAAGCAGATGTGTGCTCATCATTCCCATACCTAACAAAAATCCGAGGCCTTGAACTTAGTTAGAACATGTTCCCAGAGCACAAAGGTTTGAGATCTGAATTTTCAGCTTCTGCACATTCAGGTTGGACTAAGAATCTTAGGCAGGGGTATTGGGGGAGGTTTGTGGGGGCTATTGCTGATGATGATGTTCAGTTTTTTGCAACTTACTTTGGATCTTATCTTTTTATATTTTTCTTCCATTGAAAAGCAGTGCTTTTTAAAAAAATTCCTTCTGTTTTAAAAGCAGCACTCTGCTGTATTTCCCAGGAAGCAACTGTTAGGAATACAAGTCCAAAATGTGCAGGTTTTATGTCGCTGAACAAACATTATCACCACATTTTAAATTTGTTGTTAGCCGCCCTGAGCCCGGTTTTTGAACCAGGAAGGATAGGGTATAAATAAAAGTTGTTTATTATTATTATTATTATTATTATTATTATTATTATTTTGTTCTCCCACCCATCCTCCTGGTAATGGTCTGATTACTGTGACAACTTTGTATGCTCTATAGAATCATAGAATTGTAGGATTGGAAGCAGGGCCAGATTTAGGTTTGATGAGGCCCTAAGCTACTGCAGGTAATGGGGCCCAGCTGTCCTTTGTCAACAACAAATTGTCGCTGTTTTTTGTGTTGAATATATGCTATATACCTAATAGGTATCTAAAGCCATTTGCACATAACAAAATATGTAATGGTTTTAATTGTTCAACTGAAATACTATTAAGAAGAAGTATATTAATAGTGAAATACAATTAAGAAGAAGTATATTAATAGTGAAATAATTAAGCTCTAACTTAAATTTATTTTTCATTAATTTGGGGGGGGCAAGAGAGTGGGGCCCTAAGCTATAGCTTGTTAGCTTATATGTAAATCTGGCACTGTTGGAAGGGACCCTGAGGCACGTCTGTTCCAACCCCCTGCAGTGCAGCCATCCCATACGGGGATCAAACGTGCAACCTTGGCATTAACAACACCACAACCAATAAAATAACTGATTTAAACCACAGAGCCTAGGACTTGCCAATCAGAAGGTCGGTGGTTCGAATCCCCGCAACGGGGTGAGCTCCCATTGCTTGGTCCCTGCTCCTGCCAACCTAGCAGTTCGAAAGCATGGCAAAGTGCAAGTAGATACACAGGTACCGCTCCGGCGGGAAGGTAAACAGCATGTCCGTGCGCTGCTCTGGTTCGCCAGAAGCAGCTTAGTCATGCTGGCCACATGACCCGGAAGCCGTACGCTGGCTCCCTCGGCCGATAAAGCAAGATGAGTGCCGCAACCCCAGAGTCGGCCACGACTGGACCTAATGGTCAGGGGTCCCTTTACCTTTTTATCATCATCAAGCTAGATCTTTTGTCAGCTTTACCAATACCAATACCAATACCAAGTCTGAAAGGTGTGCTTAGCAGTCAGGGGTCCCTGAGGGTTCCTCTGAAAGTTGGAAATGATAGGAGTTGAAGTTTGAACTACTTTGATGGCAAAAAAACCTTAAAAAAACCAGAAGTATTTGTGTCAGACCTGGCCAAGCTTAGGGTTTTGCCCTGTCTGCAGCCATGCTGCTGCTTTATTAAACTCCTGTTCTCGCCCGAATAAAGAGGGCTTGGAAACCTGAGTATGCAGGAGCAGAAGCAGTACTTGGTCAACTACATCTCTAGTCAGGTTAGTTATCCAGGGAAGGGGGGAGAGAGAGAGAGAAGAGAACCACATGACATTTCCAAGAAAAGCAAGACAGCACAATGATGCATTGCTGATTCATAACTATGACTGGGGCATTTATAATATTAACTTTGGTAGCATTCATTTCAAAATCCCTCGTGCCTCTAAATCCCACTCAGAGCAAGGGAAGTATGTCACATTAGACAAAGCCATTTCTGCTGTGCCAGCAGAACTCTTTCCACTGGCCTCTGTCCCCCACTCCCCGCCCTCTGGTTTTATATCTCTTCCGCCTGTGCTATAAAATTGTCATCGGGTATAACATAACATGCACTACAGTAAGACAGGCAGGTTTTGGAGACAGTGAGGAAGGAAGAGAAGCCTGACCTATGAAGTCACACTGTTACGAGTAATGGTTGCATGCTTGCCTAGCCTCAATTTATTCTCTCTTTTTTTAAAGGCTAAACTAGTGGTGTTGAAATTCTTGTAGAAATACACTATGACAGCAGTGCCATATGTACTGTGGCCTATAGCAGTGGTGACCAACCTTTTTGTCAAGTGTGCCACAGATCAAGTCCAAAATGTAAGAGACTCCTATGCTCTAGTGCATCCATTCCAACCCAGCACCCTCCAGATGTTTTGGACTACAACTCCCATCATCTCTCACTGTTGACCATGCTTGCTGGGGATGATGGGAGTTGTAGTCTGAAACACCTGGAGGGCATCAGGGAATGCAGCTCTAGTGTACACTTTGATGCATGGAAAACAGCCTTTTACCCGACAACCTATATCTCTGCTCTGACAGGTAACAGCTTCTCTACTATTTTGGGCACATAGAGTTTTCCCCATCGACTTCCAACTGGAACTGTCTGCGATTGGATCTAGGACATTCTGCATGCAAAGCACGCCCTCTGCCATTGAGCTATGATGCCCTCTATCTCCTGTGCCAGGTGGTCTTAAGGCATGCTTCTGTAAGCTTATGTTTTTCAGCGCAGGCTTCAGAAGGAGACTGTGAAGATCACTGAAACAGAGCCAGCTACATCTATTTAAAGTTAAGTAGGGTTCATCAAGAGCTAATTAATGTTAGATTCATTGAATTAAACATTTTGGCAAAGCAAAAGGCTGACCTAAATCATGCAGTCGTTTTTTAACAATATATTTTGATACAAATACTTCTACAAATTGAAGATGGCAGGCATCATCTTTAGGAGCGGCATTCTCTCCCAAGTGACAGGGGGAGGGCAGAGGAATGCCCTTGGTGCAAAACGTGAGCGTTGGCTAAAAAACTAAGTCGGCATGGCATGATTATTTTCTCCATATGAACACTCTTGCAGATTTAATAAATCAATTGACTGATGAACTAATACTCATATAATTAATAGACTAAAATAACCTATATCATCGCACCCTAAAAGAAAGTAGCTTTTTATATGGGGGAGAAGGATGGCCAAAGACAAATGATCCAATTATGGGTGAGTCCGATATGGAAAGGTGACCTGTCAAAACTAGGTCTCCCTTCTGTACTATAATGATCCGAGAGGACTCTTCCTATCCCCACAGCCTCAATGAGCACTTCTCTACTGCTCAGAGTATGTTAACTGTTTGCAAGTGAAGGCACTATTCTCATCTTGGGGCAATATGAATTTGTGCTGGCAAAAGTAAGACAAAAAGCATGCCAACAGGCAGATTGTTAGTAGGATTGGGCAAAGGCACCTTTTTTGGTGATTGTGCCACTACTTCAGGTTGTCTGCAAAGGCAAAGGAAGATGCATAGAATACAGGCAGGACCCAAGAATGGAGTTTAAACACAGGTTCCTTATTTCACCATAGCTACCAGTACATAGAATGCAGTTTTCATTAAGTCTGAGAGAGAAAAATTGTATTAGGTGTTAGTCTCTTAGTGGTGGTTTCTTTCCAGCTTCAAAACTGGAATGGCAATTCAGAGGAACAAGGCAGGAGGGAGCAAAGTCCACAAGCTCTTTCCTGCATAAATGGGTAACATGGAAAAGGGAGTTTCCCTGCTTTACAGAAGGATAACAAGACAGGCATGGTGAATGGTAAAGAACAGGGCACTCTTAAGCCAACAATGAAATGATAATAGCATGATAAATCTTCCGGAACTCTGTCAAGCCATGGGAATTCTGAACCCTCCCTTAAAATGTTGCTTTGCCGTTCATTCCCCAACATGGATAAACCGTGACTCCATCTACATACCCTAGCAGATGAAATGAATCATATTAGCTCTGAGAAGCAGCATTTAAAATATGCACATATTTATCGGCTTCAGCCTACATCCATAAGTCTACCTTTACAATTTCTGCAAACCAGCGATAAACAATGTTTACAAGAATAGAAGAGTGTGCGTATGTTTGTATGTGCAAGATAAACCCAGACGGTTTATGCAAGGACTTGCTGCATCTGCAGGTCATTCAAATGAAAATTCATTCTTTCCCACCCCCTACCCCCACAATTAAATCCATGCTATTATCAAAACCATCAGTTTATTTGAAGACTGCTGGCTAATATATAAATTTCCCTTTGTGCTCAAAATGTCTTTATCAGATAAGGTAGCTTTTGTTTAAACTACTATTTTCAGCACTTGCTTTTGAGATTTTTTATTTTTATTTTTTTTTAATACACAGCATGGAGTAACTGGAGACTTCCTACCCTGCTTTAAAAGTGTGTTTCTTCTGTCTGCCTGTATTTTGTAATTTCCTGTCAAATACCTCACCGTAATTAACTTTCCTTGCTCCAATCTACTTTCTTTTTCTTCTTCTTTCTCAACTATTCCCACTTCCTGAGGATGGCAATAAAATGCTGATTACATGTGGCTGTTATCTGCTTGCCTTTCCCTTCATCTCCCTCCCACCCTCCTGTGCCCTTTGTTGAAACCAGCCCTTGGGTTTCAAGACTTTCAGTGGAGAAAGTAAGAGGAAAAGGAAGCTAACGGGACTGCAGGATTCCAGGATCATTAGCATTTATTGGGGCAATCTGCAGCTACAATCAGGACAAATAATTAAGGTAGAGCTGCTTCTGAAGTCTGCATGTGTCTGCTGCTTTTCTCAGACGCACTGAACTTTGAACAGAAGTCTGAATGCTCTTTTTTCTGTTGGCTCCAGCAGGTGTGAGCGAAGCAGGGGTGGAAATGATAACAACAATAATAAGCTCCAAAACACTTTCAAAGAAGGTTAAGAGGCCACACCAGTCTTACAGCTAGACAGGAACTTTATGATTTTCCAAAGTACTCCAGGGATAGCTAGGTCAATTCAACATGAGACTCTTAAAACTCAGGGTCATGGGTTTGAGCCCTACATTGCACAGGAGATTCCTGCATTGTGGGGGGATGGACGGGGGGTCCCTCCCAAGTCTCCAATTCTATGATTCTGCGACTCCACCCAGAAAGATCTAAGTCTACTGCCACCTAGTGAGTAAACTACGAAACAGGGGTGGGGAACTGGATATGGCCCACTGTCGTTTACCTGACATCACAAAGATGTCAGGTAACCACCTACCCACCCACCATGGAGGGATCTTCAGAAGCCCCTTTCAAAGCACCACACAATCCTACATGTGAGCCAATAAATTAAATGGGCATTACTTGGCCAAAACAGTTTAACAGGATCTAGACTGGTGTTTGGAAGTGGCAATGGGCTGGATATGGACCAATAAATCACAGCTGAATCATGATAAAAACAGGTGTTATGCATTCTGAGCTCTCAGTTCTGAGAGATGGGGTGGTCGCCTGTTCCACACAGGCTGCGCCACCTGGAGGGAACCAGTCCGCAACTGTTTATAACATATGCTGAAGATGTACCATTTGACCTTGGCCTTGGACAACCAAGAGAGATGTTTTTAAGATCCATCCTATTCTTCTGAAAATTTGGACCGATTTTAACACTGTAATTTTTACATAGTTTGTAATGTAATGTGTTTTTAATCTTTGTTGGAAGCTGCCCAGAGTGGGCGGGGTACAAATAAATTATATTATTATTATTATTATTATCATCATCATCATCATCATCATCATCATCTGCTCTGGGACCTTATGGTGAATGACAGATAATAAATCTTATAAAAATATTATTAATAATCAACAGCAGCAAGAACATTTCCTGTGCTGTGACCCTTTATAATGCAACACAGCTCGGAACACAACCATTGCCCCCTTTTTCACACAATAACTGTACAGTACTTGTCCTCCTATTCTGGAGTTTAAATTACTGATAGCTTACTACTCAGCAAGATAGTGCAGAACTGCCGCAGCTTCAGTGGGGGGCAAGATGAGAATACACTGTGTGTGTGTGTGTGTGTGTGTGTGTGTGTGATGCATCTACGGTGAGTCATGTGTGTCCTTGTGTGTGCCCTGTATGTGTGCATTTGGAAGGGGGCATGTGCATATCCTCCAATTCTGGTCCAGTGCTATTTGGCTCTATTCACCTCTCTTCTAGCCTTGCCCACTTCTTGCTTGCAGAAGGTTGGGCATAAGCAAATGCGACTCTCTTAGAGACACAAGGATAAGTGGGTCAGACAGGTATAGGCTAACAGTTCACTCTATGGCTCAAAGACCAATGCTAGGGAACAACACCTACTTCCATACGCAACTCAAATGTTCTCATTACATCTTCCATTTTGAAAGAAACACATCTCACCAAATGGTTTTGCCAAACTTCTCATTATTTATCTACAATAGGGAGGCTTTTATTCCATCTCCATTCTCCAGCACCTCCATTGTTTTTTGGTGGCCAGTAACTTTAGGTTAAAAAGGTAAAGGACCCCTGACAGTTAAGTCCAGTCGCGAATGACTCTGGGGTTGCGGCGCTCATCTCGCTTTACTGGCCGAGAACTTTGGGTTGCATTTTATATATTTCTACTGCATTGGTTTTAAGGTGCAGTTTTGGAGCTGCATGTTTTGTTTTGTTTTGTTTTGTTTTGTTCTTCCTTTTCTACAACTTACTTTTTTAGTTGCATTCAAATAGTTTTCCATCATTTTTGCAGGCCTTCAAACCTTGCCCTTCAGCTGCCGGATTACTGCTTCACAATGAGTATTTAATAATGCCGGCGACCGATTTTTTGAAAAAATCCTGCCATCAAATGCCTTAATTCTTTTTAATTTCATATCTCAGCTTCTCTGGCCGATTTTCAAAGCCATCATTTCCCCCTTGCTTTTGTATCCAACAGGAAACAGATTTGCTCTTCTTCTAAACACCTATCAGAATGTTTGATGTGCAGTGATTAATCCTAAGATTCAGCTCTCACAATTTGCCTGTTTATACCCAGACGCTGCAAAAGAGTAAACACATACATAAGCTTCCTAGCTGAACATGGATATATATAGCTGTGGTGTGACCTAGTGACAAAAAGCTCAATGTGTACACATGCACACACACCTATATGTAATGGCATACACATTTAGTCTGGTCTCAATGCCCCAAAACAACCATGCATTATTTGCATTAGCATTCAGAATGGCTTCATCCTTGTTAGCCGCAAACAATTTTTGATATGATAAGAGGCATCATTTCCCTTAGTACATACATACATACATACATACATATATACATACATACGCATATACATCTGTTTTTTTACCTATTCCGCTATCTAAACAGGTTCTGGAAACACCATAAAACAGTTTTGTGTGTGTGACTGAAGAATGGCATAGGTGAAGACATCACAGGCAACAATCCCTTTATCATCCCCCTGCTGCAGGTTTTGGAGGATGA